AGCCTCAGACGTCAGCTGATCMCTCTCCTGTTGTTTGGTTCCAGCCGGAACTTGGTTCAGGAWATACTTCRWRTTTGAAGCTAACAGCTCTGATCCATGTCGGTTCAAAGTCATTCCATCAGACTTGAACACCCTTTTACTGCCAAGACAAGAGAAGAAAGACCACTTCCACACGGCAGCTAGCAGGAAGCTAACACAGCAGCCGGTACAAAGGTAGGTGTGTGTGCGCACGCGTTTGTGTTATACAGAGTATGAAATGTTTTTATGCGACTTTGTCATGAGTTTTATGCAAAAGTAAAAACTTGTTAGAGTGTATATTACAGCGTAGACTAAAGTAAAACTTGTTAGAGTGTATATTACAGCGTAGACTAAAGCCAAGTGACGAGCGCCACCGCCCCTCCTCCCGAGTGCAGCAGAACCTCCGCCTGATAATCATTAAGTTTTCAGTTCACTAACGTCGGGGAAAACGATCCAAACCAAATAAGTAGCCATCAATTTAAAGCCCAGACTCTTCTCTTTCCAACAATATGTGTCACAGCTCCACGTGAAAAATTCACAGAACAAGCAGCCAAGGAATAGTGAAAAAGGCTAAATTCTGGAACCATAAACATGAACGTCTTTCCTTTGTTTTTGTCTTTAATCCACTTTGGAGTGATTTTTTTCCCACTTGGCTGAACTTGTATGTCTCCTGTGTTAATGTTGGTACATGTAATATGCTAATTCTGTACTGTGGAGAACATTAAGAGTCGTTGTCGGGTGAAAAAAAATCTTTCGCTAACACTGTGTTGACCGTGAACCGGAARTGTTAGGAGTGGCATCCAGTGCTGGGCCGGATGTCCGTGGCATATAGGCTATTGTGTCCAAAAATGAATCAGTTACAGATAAACCTAAAACCTTTAAGCAAAGCAAACAACTTTTTAAACAGAAATTGTACCAAAAATTGCAACATTTGTATAATTATCGATTCATAAAATAAATATCTGCGTCACTAATATTCCTGCTTAGGAGCCTCTCCTGCCCTTCAGAATGGCTGAACTATCCCTTTAAGCTGAAAACATACAGGTGCATATGACGGGCTTTAGGACCCCGCGGAGCTCAGTTGAAGGCAGCTCCGGACAAATGATGGCTGGTCTTTACCTGAGCTAATGTCGAGCAGCGTTAAGGTGTTCGCTGTGAGCCCGCAGCATGCACTGAGCCCAAAGACTGCACATGTGCTGCTGTTCTGCCGCTAAGCACACTGCGCCACGCCGCTGTGGCAGGAAGCGCAGCTGCTGATGGAGCACATCCGACTACCAAAGGTAATCGTCTGCAGTGATTAGCTAAAGCCCTCAAGCAGCTGAAAAATACGAGCCTTTAAGGTGAACCGACAGAGTTCAGAGGCCGCGGCGGCCACGTCGACATGTCCCGCTGAGTTCTCAGCTGTCTGCACCTCTCTGTCCAGCTGGGGGCTGAACGGCCTTCTTCCTCCTGTCCCTGCAGGTGGAGAACGTCAAGCTGCTGGATAAGGTGTCTCCCAGGAGGAGGAGCAGGGTGGGGGTCCTGTACCTGACAGCCACCCACAGCATCTTTGTGGAGAGCGAGGTTGGGGGGCGCAACGAAACCTGGGTACAGAGCAGCTCAGTCCACTTTACGAGAGTGTGTGTGTGTGTGTGTGTGTGTGTGTGTGTGTGTGTGTGTGTGTGTGTGTGTGTGTGTGTGTGTGTGTG